GCCCGGCTGGGAGGAGGCCTCGGGCATCCCCTCGCTCAGCCTAGACCTCCAGCCGCGTCTCACCCGCGCGTGAAACTCACCTGCGCCGCCGCCGCCCTGTGCGCGCCCAGCTCGGCCCTCCGCAAACTCTGGCCCGGGCCTCTCCCGCAGCCGGGGAAGGGGGCGGGGCCAACTCCCACTCCCAGCCAATCAGGAGTGGCCTCCCGGAGCTCGCGGCCAATCCTTGCCTCGCCTCCCCGTTCCGGGTGGACCGGACGGAAATATTCCAGAGGGATCCCTCCGCCTCTCCCGACTCTTTCCGACACCCCGCGGTGCGGCGCAGTGGACCTTCCCGCTCCACCTAAGCCGCGGCGGGCTGTACCATCGCAGGGCTGCAGATAGGGGGGAAGCTGCGTCTGGGCCCCAGCCAATCGCCGGGGACGGAAGGCAGGAACCAGCGACCAATGGGAAGCTGGAGTCTCTGGACCACGTGCTGTTGGCTGAGTGTTGGTACGGGGATACTGGGTGGTAAAGGACTGGGGGCTGACCGTGGTGACGAGGTTGAGTTTCGGGGAGAGGATGCACACTTCCAACATCAGGAAAAGCAGATCCTTTAGGAGACTTGCGAAGGGGCTGAAGGCAGCCCCCTCATCCAGTCCTCCGCCCCGCCTGCCCCTGCCCAAGCCTGGCAATCCTCAGAGCGGATAAAAAGATGCATTCACTCCAGGCTGGCGGGCGGGGAACTGAGATGAATAGGGAGGGTCCCGAGTGTCCCTGCTTCCTGGGGTGTACAATGGACAAGGGCATTCATTCATTCACTCATCAAATATTTAATATGCCCCTGCTCGATGCGAGGCTTTGACTTATCTCTACAGACAAACCGACTAGTAAGCTAAATGTGCTCCTAGGAGAAGGAACAGTGCATGAAAAGGCCTGGAGGCCAGACGGAGATATACAGCACATTGTAGGATAATGCAATATCGTGGGAGCTAGCAAAGTAGTGTGAAAGGGTGCAATGAAACGACGAGGGAGAGAGGCCCTGTTGCCTTGTTCGTTAGACCAGCAAATATTCATTGAGCACATACTCAGTGCTAGATTATAATGGGTACCCATGCAACCCAAGCCTCTGCCCTCAGGGAACTGACCTTTCATGAGTCTGTCTCCTCCCATCTGATTGTAGGCGACCCCCCCTACCCCCAACAGAGCACATATGTATAGATGAAAGGACCAGGTAATCTCACCATCTCTAGGTTTGGCTTGTAACCATGATTTCTCAGGTAGGAGCAGGTTCAAGACACATGACACAGGCCAGGATGCTCAGTTCCCAGGATCGGTGATATTTCCTTGTTCTAGTTCAAAGCTGGCCACTCAGGCAGCTGGGGCTAGACCAGGAGTTCACTGTGTTTTCTGGGAACTGTAGTTCTTGGAGGCCGCTAACTGCTGTGATCCTGCTCAAGCCTCACTGAATGACTGCGTCCTTGCAGTCCCCAGGGTGAGCTGCTGTGCATCCCAGCCACACCAGCGCCAACAGAGAAGCAAAGTTAAAGGGGAGAGTGGGCCCTGGGCTTAGCTAATGAGGGCTGCCTGGCTGGCCCCACCCAGCTGGCAAACACAGAGATCGCCACAGCAACAGGTTCAGTTATTGTCCTTGTCTTCCTGTTCTGCTGACTTCCGCCACCCCCACTGAGTGATCAGTTGCTTCAGCTAGGCCAGGACCCTCCGTGGGACTGTGCCCACTACCCTGATTGAACCCCTCATCTGAGTTGCACCCCATACACCTGGAGAGGGCAAGATGGAGGGCTGCAGGGACAGGTGAGTCCTGAGCCAGAATCCACCTGTTGACTGATGAGGAAGTGCCCAGGGAGAGGTGAGGGGGGCTACCCAAGGGTACAGAGCAGTGCCAGGCACCTCCTACCCTATTTTAGAGTTCAAAAGGCATGCCTGAAAACTGAGGCTGGGAGACACAGCTGGGGAGGAGCTCAGATTTGAGTATTGCCTCTGCCCCTCTGGAAAAATAAAGTTCTGGAATGCCAACTAATACATGAGAAAGGAAAGGTTGAGTTAGAAAAATCACCATTTTGCAGCCAGTAAAGGAATAAATGATTCAGGCAAGGCTCATCAATGGGGAAGTTAATATTTGGTCTCAAAGGACCAGCCCACAGATTACTTTTTAATTATAATGGGGAAAAGCTACCAGTAGAGAAACCTGGAAGTCACCACCTTAACTAAGTGATCAAAGTTAATATCACTAGTGTTAGGACCAGCTGTCGTCACATGCCCCTGCTGTGTTGTACTGAGACCAACGCAACATCACGTGACTGCAAAGTACTTAGTTCCACCCAAAGTGTTTGACTTGAATCTAATCGTGAAGAGACAACCAGGCACATCCTGACTGAGGGACATGCTGAAGGAAGGAAGGAAAGAAGGGAGGAAGGACACTGACCTGGAACCTTCAAACAGATCTATGTCATGAAAGGCAAAATTAATCCCTTAGTTAAATGAATGATTAAAAGTCCGGTGAGCAGTTCTAGATTGAAGGAGATAAGAAAGATGACAACCAAACCCACTGTGATCCTTGATTGGATCTTTGATAAAAATGTCAAGAAAGGGCCAGCCGAGTGGCTCAGTTGGTTAAGAGCTCGCTTGGGAGCACCAGCTCTAAGCAGCCAGGCCAGGGTTCGGATCCCACATTAAGGGCCAGTGACGCTGCGCCCTCTACAGCTAAGATGATGAACAACAGCTCGACCTGGAGCTGGGCTGCTGTGAGTCGCCGGCGGCCGCATAGGCTACAGCAGGGCTGCAGTGGACTGCCATAAGCTACATGAGTGATTGGCAGCCAGCGTGAGAGGCTGGCAGCTGGCGAGAGCTGCTGTGAGCCACAGAGAGCGGCCGACCAATGACCAGCGACCGAATGCCTCACCTGGGAAGAGCACAATGATCATGCCAACATGGGCCAGTGATGCGACGTCCTCCACAACTAGACTGAAGAACAAAAAAACAGCAATTTTTCTACCTGTCTGTTCCCCTTCCTCGATTCCCCAATGCTGTTCCCTTCCCTCAATTCCCCAATTAAATCTTTAAAAAAAAAGAAAAGTCAATAAAAAACAAAAGAGCTATGAAGATATTCTTGGGATAATTGGGGATATTTGAATGTTGAGTGGATATTAGATTATAATATTGTATCCATGTTAAATTTCCTAAGGGTGAGCATTGTACTGTGTTACTGTGTTACATAAGAGAATGGTCTTATTATTAGGTGATACAGGCTGAATTATTTAGTGTTAAATTTTTTATGGCTGCAACTGTCAAATGGTTCAGAAAAAAATTATATATGTATACAATATTTTATATATAATATAATATGGTATATATTAGTATTAATACATTGAGAGAAAACAAATGTGACAAAATAATAACAATTGCCACTGAATCCAGGAGAGTGCTACATGTATATGGGTATTCATTGTATTATTCTTGTTAAATTTTCTATAGCTTTTAAAATTTCAAAATAAACATTGGGAAAAATACCCCCGTTTTCCCCCAACCCCCAGAGGTGACCCTCCAGTGAGTTTAATGTGCACCTTTGTGTTTATCTTTCCTTGAAAATGTGCACTGTTTTATATGGGCTTTCTATTGTATTGGGCTTTTTACTTTTTTCCCCACTCAGCATAGTATTGCTTGTTTTGCACTATACCTTGAGGATCCATCTGGTGTTACTAATTTCTTGACTGTTTTCTTCTAACTTCTGCTTGATGCTCCATGAGATGCATCCCTTGCATCTTACTGTTCTGTCCCCCAAGGATAGGCAGCCTCCAGCTCACTACACCACAGTGGACAGCCATGGACATGCCCTTTCGGGACCTGGTAAGACTCTCCCTAGGAGAGAGTCCTGGATGCAGAGACGCTGAGTCACAGGACACAACTCAATTGCTATGTGCCCTCCCCCACCCAGACTAGCTGCCCCCATCTCACCCACTGGCAATGTGGAAGGGTCCCATATCCCCACATTTCTGCCAGCTGTTGGCATTTTTCCAGCTTTCTAATTTTTGTCACTCTGACTCGCTGTCAAGTGACATCACCATTGCTTTGTATTACATTTTTCTGGATTCTAATTATTTTGAGCATGCCCTCATTTGCTTGATGGCCTTCTGGTTCTCCGCCTCTGTAAATTGCCTTTTCATAGCTTTTGCCCATTTTGCACTTGAGCTTGCTATCTTTTCCTGTCCATTTGCATGAGTTCCTCAGAGTCTAGAACTGCACTGTCCAATCTTATTTGTCTAATATGAATGCTCTGCTTTCATATTGTTATTGAGGACTTGAAATATGGCTAATACAAATTGAGATGTACTGTCAGTGTGAAATACACACCGAATTTCGAAGACTTAGTAGAAAGAAAAGAGGATGTAAAATATCACATCTCATTAACTCGTTTATATACTGATTACATGTCAATATAATAATAATGTGGATGTATTGGGTTAAATAAAATGTATTCTTCAAATTAATTTTACCTGTTTCTTTTTACTATTTTAATGTGTCTACTGGGAAATTTAAAATTACATATGCTCTTGCATAGTCCTACTGAATAAAGCTGGGATATTGAGCCCTTGTCAGTTTCAACAATGATATTAATAGATAATGTTTAGATAGAGCTTCCTATATGCCAAGCACTGTTCTAAGAATTTTGTATTATTAAACCTTGTAACTGTCCTAATGACCCTGTGAGGTAGCTACAGTTTTTAACTTTGCAAATATGTTCTCCCATTCTGTCATGTGACGATTCGCTTTGTTTGTGATATTCTTCATTAGAAGGAAATTCTTAATTTCAATGTAATAGAAGTTGCCTATTTTGTCGTTTTTGCCCATGACATTCATTAAGGAGGCCCTTTCTACTCTTCACTCACAAAGGTATTCTTCTACATTTCCTTCTATTCATTCAATGGTTTTACTTTTCCTGTGTCTTTATTGCACCTCTAGTCCACTTTGGGTTGTGGGGTAGCGTACAGTCATATTTCTCCATAACCTGTGCTGCTCGCCAGCTGTGTGACCCTGCGTGAGCCCCTTCCCCCATGTGCCTCAGTCTCCTCATCTGTAAAATGGGGATATACCCATAAATGGGCATAATAATTCTAAAGTTGTTACCATTATATTAGCATGAAATGAGCTATTCTGTGTCAAATGCCTACAATGGTACCTGGAAGAC